TAAATAATAATAATAATAATAATTTTTAAATATTTTATTATTTTTAAAAAATTAAATATTTTATCAAATAAAAATTTAAATGTTAGATAAAAATTTACGAAATTTAATATTTGAATACTTTAATATATAATTAACATAATTTATTAATATCAAATTATTTGTTAAAACAATAATTATAAAAATCAAATAAGTGTTAAAATTTAGATAAAAAATTAAAAAATTTTTATTCAAAAAAAATTGTTAAACATAATAATAAATGTTTATCCAAATTTAATATAAATTTAATATAAATAAAATTCATTATAAAAAATAAGTTTATTTAATATATGATAACTATTTTTAATTATATAATTATAATACAATAATTTTTAAATAATTCTTTATTTTATTGAAAAAAATTATTTATATATTTTGAGTTTTTTGTTAATTTATATAAAATATTTTTTTTTATTCTTTTAATAATTATAAAATTATTTATAAAATTATTTTTATAAATAATAAAATAATTTCAATTATTATTAGATTAGATGATTTAAACTGGTAGCAGGACTTCCACCCCCTGAATAATTCCACCTGACATGTGGACCCCACGTACAAGTGTAAGGTTTATATAGTTAGTTATAAAAGTGGTTAATTTATATAATTAGTAATAATATTAGCTAGTATAGATCATTTACATGACATGTATAGTAGTTGAAGTCAAATTCAATAAAAACCAGGAATGGATCGCCCTTTCACCTTATAAAATAATAATAATAATAATAAATAATTTCAATTACTGTTTAATTACTTTTTTTTTTTTGTATTATTTTTTTATGCACGATAAATTTATTTTAAGAAAAACAAATTTCAATTTTAGCTATTTCAAATTAATCCTTTTTGGCTAAAAATCAACGTTTTTATCTCCTGGTCATGCTCACGCGCTAATATTTGCCGATTGTTTCACTATTTGAATTCCTTTTTAGGATTCTTTAATACTGTAAATTCATTTTTACAATATGGATAATATATAAATTACGTTCTTGAAATAGTATATAAACAATGTATTAATAGTCGAAATTCATTAGACCTTTCCAATGGAAGCACAGTAAAGGGAGACAATAACTAAGAAATTACTTGCAGAGATATTGTTCAAGTTATGTTATACAACTGTGGATTGTCAAACAATTGTAAAACGTTTCTGGCTACGCAAGATTGATCTAACATTACGATTCAAATTTAATAAAAAAAGCATTGTTTCCTGTGCTGAAAGATGACAAATTTTTTGTCTTGTTCTCATTCTTTGGAAAAAAATAAATTATTATAATCATCTTGCCCTATTTTGTAAATACGTATTTTAGTTATTTAAAAAAAAATTTTTCATATAAATATCTAATTAATATTGAAAACACAATTAAACGTAGTTTTTTTTTGTTGAACAAAAAAATTACGGATATATATATATATTTTCGAACGGCCTACTTCGACTTCGACCGACGACGACTTTGAACCTTGATGGTTCTTTAAATATATCTATAATTTATTACACTTTCGTTAAGTTCACTAATATTATATCCATTCTCGCGCGTGGTTGCTAAAAACATACATATTAACATAAAATGAGGAAAGGATCAGTAACATCATCCGGTTCATCACAATCATATACTGCTTATCGTTCGTCAAATGATACACTAGTAGAAGAAGGACGTAATTCTACTCGAATAACAAGTAGTCGGCAAATATATAAAAATACATTATCGTCATCTACCATAGTGGAGGAGTATGATGAGTCTTCATTAACATCACCGTCAGAAGAAAAACAAAAATCAGTATTTATTGATAATCCCTCAACAAGGTCTACTAGATTCAATTCCGTTGGTGACGATGACGATCAACCGCCAATATATACCGATAGGAAGAAGTCCATCTATAAACCTGTGCAAAAACCACCATTGAATACCATCCAAACTTCTTTCTTTCACATCTATCGCTTTGCCACTCTATTCGATTACTTTTTAATGGCTTTGGGAATTTTTTTCAGCATTCTTGCCGGTCTAGCCATACCATTTATGACGCTGATCACTGGGGATATATTTAATGTGTTCACTGACAAACAAACCGGAAAAGTAACCGCACAAGCGTTTCAAGAGAGAGTCAACTTTTTGGTAATGGAATTCATGTTACTGGGTCTCGGGGACTTTATCGTGATTTTTGCAATGGTTACATTTTGGAATTGGACCGGTGAACGACAGGCGAGACGTATGAGGGAAATTTATTTTAGATCGTTATTGAGAATGCATATTAGTTATTTCGAACAATCTGACATAACATCTGGTGGTCTGTTGACTAGTGTTAACAAAGACTCGGAAGATGTACAAAATGCAATTTCCGAAAACATGGGGCACATTATACAATATACAGTTACTGCCTTTAGTTGTCTCATACTGGCTTTTATGAAAAACGTGATCTTAACCTTAGTAATATTGGCTTCTATGCCTCTGATATTTTTAGCATTGGCTTTCACTTCTCGTCTTGCAGGCCCGTTGTTGTCCAAAGAGCGTGAGGTATTCATAAAAGCCGGTAACACACTCGAAAATGCCTTAACCGCAATTAAAACAATAAAAGCATTTAATGGAGAAGAAAAGGAAGAAAAGAAACACTTTGACAATTTGAATGAGGCTAACACCGCTTCTAGTGGTCTGGCCCGCACTTATGCTCTACGTACGGGTCTAATTCAGTTCTTCTTGTTGTCATTGTTCTTTCAAGGATTTTGGTACGGATCGGTACTGGTGGCTAATAAACAGCTTGCTCCTGGAGATGTATTGAGCATATTTTACGCTAGTCTGCTCGGTGTCAGCGTGTTGAAAGGTATACTACCAAAATTAATAATATTATCCAAGGCCAAAGAAGCCATAAAGTCGATAAACATTTTGTTGGAAAAAGTAGCGTTATTGGATTTAGAGGCGTTAAGAGGTTTCAAGTTGTCAGAAATAAAAGGAAATATAGAGTTTAGCGAGGTCAGTTTTTCTTATCCCACTCGTCCGGATGTGGCAGTGATGAAAAACATAAATCTCCTCATACCGGCTGAAAAAACTACCGTGTTTGTTGGACAAAGTGGTTCCGGAAAATCAACTATAGCCCAGTTAGTGCAACGTCTTTATGAGCCGGATAACGGTCTAATCACATTGGATGGACGTGAACTTCGAATTTTAAACATTTCTTGGCTTAGACAACAAATTGGTGTTGTTAGTCAGGAGCCAGTCCTCTTTGACGACACCATATTCCAAAATGTTGCCTACGGGAGACCTGATTATTGGAACGTCACTCTGGATCAAGTTATTTCCGCATGTAAGACTGCATGTATTCATGATTTTATACAAGAACTACCAGAAGGCTATAACACCCGTCTAGGTGACAAAGCAAAAAAACTTTCAGGCGGTCAGCGCCAAAGATTGTCTATTGCTCGTGCTTTAATCAAAGATCCTGCTATTCTGATACTTGGTAAGCATGAAGTATTAACGTTCTCGTATAGTTACACGTCGTACTAACCACATCTCAACTAAAAACATGTAGATGAAGCATCAAGCGCACTCGATATGGAATCTGACGCATTGGTGCAACAAGCTCTACAAAATAGTCGCGTCGGTCGAACCACCATTGTCATCACTCACAATTTATCTCACATCAATGAATCAGATACTATATACGTATTGTTTGAGGGTGAAATTGTGGAAAGCGGCACTACTGCTCAACTTCTTGAAAATCCAGAAGGTCATTTTTCTAAATTAGCGGAAGAATCTCGCCAAAAACGTAGTCCCAAACGAAAAACGTATGAACTGGACATGATCAACATGCGATTAAAACGGTCTGAGACCTATTATTCGACTTATTCGGTTGTTGACAGTATCCCACCTTCACCAAGCCTACGGAATCGATCATCACAATTTGGATGGAGTCCATCTGCTTATACAGAACATTTTGATACAAAGGCGATAGATGTTCTAAATACCTCCGCTTTGGCTGCCGTCTCAAAGCGGCGTATGTCACTTTTTGATATCTTAAGTTATTATGAAGACGAGACTGCGGAAGACGGAGTACTGATTGATGTTTTAGTGACAACCCCCGATGATGCTTCCACGAAAGAAGGTCGAAGACGTACTAGTATTCTGAAGTTAATTCTTGAGACGATGCAAAATAGAGTTACTTATTCGTTCGGTGTAATCTCCTCCGTTATAAATGGTCTCGTGATGCCGCTATTTTCATTCGTTCTCGCTAGTTTATTGAACACTTACGCAATTCCCGAACGAGATGAACTATTGAAAGAATCTAGAAAATATGCAATATTTGTAATACTTATAGCCGTGGTTAATGGAATATCGGCATATTACAAGTATTTCTTATTGGAAAGGGCATCAGAGCAATGGGCTGTCAGACTAAGACATCTGGGATTCAGAACTGTATTACGGCAACCTCCGTCGTGGTTCGACAAATCAGAAAATGCTATCGGAAGGCTCACCACCGTACTTATAACCGACACCAACACTACAAAAAATCTTATTGGACACTTTGTGGGAAATATAACCTTTGGTTCAGTGTCATTATTGGGAGGGATAATCTGGGCACTTGCCGTAGGATGGCAATTGACTCTGGTGGGATTTGGGCTAGTTCCTATATTATTAATCGCCTCAGAATTGCAAGGATATGTGCTACAAAAATACGAGAAAAAACAAAAACTTGCCAGCGAAGAAATGTCAAATTTATTCTATCAGACAATTTCAAGTATTCGAACTGTATTTTCCTTGGCCATCGAAAGTGCTATGGAAGAAAAGTTCCAATCTGCTCTCAAAGTTCCATACATGATTGGTATTCGTAAAGCATTCTTCGGCGGATTTACCACCGGTTTATTAGATGCATTTCAATATTTCTCCAAGGCGATAACATTTTGGTATGGGGCTCATCTTGTCTCTCAAGGCATCTATGATCTACAAAAAATGCTTATTGTGTGGACACTTGTCATCTTCTGTACTACCTCCGCCTCGCAAATGCTTGCCACCATTCCATACTACGCCAAAAGTAAACAGGCCGCAAAATCAATTGCCAAGATTCTTAATTTACCCATCGAAGATACGACCAGTGGCGATACTATCGATGATGTGCAAGGAGTTGTAGAATTGAGAGACGTACACTTTTCTTATCCCGAGAGACCCGACATAAAAGTTTTAAATGGGTTGAACCTCACCTTGCAACCAAACCAGTCGATCGCGCTAGTGGGCAAAAGTGGTAACGGAAAATCGACGGTGGCAGCATTATTACAACGATTCTATGAACCAAGCAGCGGACGTATCTTATTTGATCATATACCGCTAAAAGATCTCCAGTTACATTGGTTACGTGAACAAATCGGTATAGTAAGTCAAGAACCCATATTATTTGATGCTTCCGTATCGGAGAATATAGCATATGGTAAACCGGACGCGACTCAGGAAGAAATTGAGGTCGCAGCACGTCAAGTTAACATGCACGATTTTATACAGTCCCTGCCTGATGGATATAATACCAAACTGGGTAGCAGCGGATCTCAACTAAGTGGTGGTCAGAAACAGAGAATTTCTATTGCTCGAGTTTTATTACGGAACCCTAAGATATTAATATTGGATGAAGCGACCAGCGCACTGGATGTCACCAACGAACAAATTGTTAATGAGACATTGGTCAAGGTACAAAAAGGAAGGACCACATTGGTGATTACGCATCGGTTAAATAATGTTAAGAATATGGACCGAATAGCCCTGGTCGAGGATGGTCAAATTACGGAGGTTGGAAATCATAGGGAGTTGATGAGTAAGAAAGGTGGATATTTTAATCTAGTTACTAGTGGAAATCTCTGAAATATATAATAATCAAAAAAGACATTATTTAAAAAATCTAAATAGCTGCACTTCCATTATTTAATTTTAATTTTGTTCGAAAAAAAATCGAAGAATAAATCAACATTTGTATAGTCGTTCTTTATTTATCCTCCACACATTTCTCCATAGTAAAAACCGAACATTTTTTCCTCTAACACCGACATAAACCTTTGTAATTTTTTCCAAATAATCTTCCTTTGTTACATATATTAATTAATATTTTCCTTTCTTCCCTCCTCGGAGTGAAATGTATATCATCGCTAATAAAACAATTATTACATTCAAAATAATCATGGTTAATTTTGGGTTTTTTTTTGTACAAAATTTCTTGAAATAAAATAAATACAATTTATTAATAATTTTTCAGCTTTTTTTTTCTTCAAAGGTGAGTATTTTATTATATAATTGTAGATATTATTGATTTTAAAACTTTAAAATAATTTTATAATTTAATATTAAGCTATTTGCTTTTAAATAAAAATTTAACAAATAATTTTTTAATTATTTTTTAATGGGCATTAAATGCACGATTTTTATTAAATACTTTATCTAATCTATTTATCTATACATTAATAATTTTTAATAGTAAAAAGATTTTTCTATTATATTATAAAAATAAAATTGATTTTTTATAAAAAAAACATCAATTAAAATAAAAATATAAATAATGAGTTAAAAATTATATTTTATTATTATTGAAAATATTAAATAAACTCTTAATTATATTTTTTAAAAAATATACTTATTATTAAAATATTATTTATAAATTATAATAAAAAGTAAATAACTTAATATCAAATTATAAATTATATTGAAATTTTATAAATTTATATTTAATTAATTTATACTGTATATTAAAATAATTTTAATAATTAATGTTTTATTATTTTATAATTTATATAAAATTGAATTTTAAATTATTATGATTATAATATGACAATAATCTAAATCATTAACAATACAACAGTATAAACTACTCTTATTTTCAAAAATAATAAGAAATTTAATTCAAAATTTTTTTAACAATTAATTAATTTTCTACTTTTCTACATCAATCTTGTTTTTGATTTTCTTAATATTAATTTTTGTTCCACTTGCTATATATTAAGTCATATTTGAAAAGCAGGTATGCCAATCCTAATTATGACTTGGAGGTCAACCTATATAGATTAGTTACAGCACCTTCATGTAATTAGATATTTATTTATTTTTAAGTAGCTAGATATTATTTAAGACAATAATATAGATTTTTGAATTTCTTTTTTTTCTGTATTTTTTGAATAGACCAAAAGAGCACAGGGGTTGAATTCATTTTGGAGCCTTGCATTAAACTCTTTTTAGCAAAGAGAGATGTATGTTATGTTATTAATATTGTACTTTGTTTTGCAAGTGAAAATATAATAAATAAAATAAAACGTAATAGCTATTTGCTCTTTTTAAATATATACATATATATATATATATCCCTTAAATTGTAAGGCATTTTTTTTATAATGTTTAAAATTTTTTAACTAAAAAGTTGCTTTTCATTTATTTTTTTAAATAATCAAA